CCTCCCCTGCAACCCTGGGAAGTCAGGTTGGGGTCCTTCTCCCCTGGATCTAATCTGCTGTAGGGAGCAGGTATGATTCACCCCCCACCCCCCAGCCTGCCTTTTCCAGACATTCATCAACCTTCAACATCTAGTCGTTCCTCTCTGCTCACCAACATACACACAAGGGAAATAGTTATTGTTGGCTATGATTTCAGATTTGCTGAATATGCTTCATCTTTGCATTTGGGAGGCAGTAGACCATTGCTTCTACATGCACAGCATTGCTTCTGACATGCACAGCACAGAATCCACTACAGGCTGCTGCCCCTGATTTCTTTTTCAACAACATTCAGGCAGCTCCACCTCCATCCTAGGCTCCGTTCCAGGCACTGGTACCCCTAGGAACAGCTTCTCCCTGGTGAGGATTCTATTTCGTGGGTGAAGGCAGCTCTGATACAGACACACTAACAGAAATTTCAAACGGCAGGAGGCAACCAGCATGCACAGTCTGTGGTATAATAACCTGTCACTTCCCTGCTGCCTCCAGGAGAAAAAGCTTCCCAAGGACAAGAAGGACATCAGCTGCATCACCGTATCCTGGGTGCCTGGTATGTGTCTGGCAGAGAACTCACCCAGTGTGTGACTGTTCAATGAATGAATGAATGGGCAGATGGACAGATGGATGGACTAAAGTGAACCAATGCCGACTACAATGCATGGTTGGGTTGAAGCTGAATGAATGGACAGATTAGTGTGAATCCACCATAGCTGTTGAATGAATAAATGAATGAGTGGATTGGACGGACTGAATGATCACAACACTGGAAACCTGTATCGTTACCCTCAGATCTCCCAGGTCATCAGTGAGAAGCCCCTGTGGGAACAGCCCGGATTCAGACCATGAATCACCTGCAGGTGCCCTCCCTGTGCCAAGGGGCTTCTGGCTGTTTGGATGCTGCGGGGCTCCTTGATTTAATCCACCACGTGCTTTCCACTATGTTACTGTTCGCTCTTCTGTTTTGTTTTGCTTTGTTTCTAATTGAAGCAATTGTGAAGAGATTTTGCTTCCTGAGTCTCCAGAATACAGCGGACCCTCTCAGGCTCCAGCTGTATTTACAAACCGGATTCCCTTCAGCTGACTAAGAATAACTCGACTCTTCCCTCCATTCAGGCAAGTGGAGAAGCCTGCTGAAGGCGAGTCCTGACTTTCTCCTGACATTTCCACAGCAGACGTGCGACATGCTGGCGGGCTGGACCTGCATCCTTTCCCCTTGGGTCTGGTCCTTGGCGTTCCTGCCGGGGTCAGACCCCTTTCCTTGGGGGAGGAGAAGTGGTAAGTCCACAATGTCCAACAGGGTCCTGTGGTTCAGGCCCAGAGAGTCAGCCTGCTTCCACTCCGAGGTTACGATGATCGGCTGGGGACAGTCACAGAGCCTATAGGCATCCAGCTAGGTGACTCCAGGCCTGTGGGGTCACCCATTCCTCTCCTGGGTCCAACTCACACCCGCTCTTTCTCTGTCCTGCTCAGGCCCAGGTCACCTGGCCCCTTCACTGGCTGCTATGGGATGAGGTCAACCAGCCAGGCGGGCAGGGAGTGAGGCAGGGACTCCTCTCCTGCTCCCTCTGGGTCACTGAGTGGGCAGCCGCGATCCTCCCCGAGACGAGGAGATGGGCAGGCCCTCCCCACCCAGGGGCCCCGGCTCCCTGCTGTCCCCGCTCCCGCCGCAGGTTCCTGGTACCTCCCTCTCCCTCCCCAACCTCAGTCTTCTCCAAACAGAACCTCATCAGAATCTCTTCCGTCCACACTGGTCACTGCTGGACCCTGACACACAAATCTGCCAAGAACAGAATTAACACAGAGAGCAGGCAGAGCAACAGGAGAGAAAGAGGGCCTGGTCTCTGCTCGGGGCCGCCTGACCGCTAGCCTCTGCATCCTGAGTGGCGTCCATGTGCCTTACTCTTTAAGCAAGTTAATGTAGGGTCTGCTGTTACCTGTGATCATTCTCCCTGACTCAGACCCAGGGTCAGTGGTAGTGAAATCTGTGTTCCAGGGGCACAGGGGGATGAGGGCAGAGGCTGATGGCCCAGATTCTGGGCCCACACTGCCATTTTATTAACTGGGCAACACGATCCAGTGACCTGACCTCTCCAGGGTCCTCCAAACCATTCCTCAAACCATCCCCTGAGAGGGGGAACCTCTTCAAAATCTAGATTCTGCTCTGCCAAGATAAAGAACCACTTTGAACCCAGGCTGCCAGGATGAAGAAATGCCAGAGTGGGGGGTCAGCTGGGTGCTCACAGACCCTGAGCCACCAGGCTGGATGACTGCAACTTGGCTGGACCTGGGTCCTAGCGCCCGCCTCTTGTCAGCATATTTCTGGCCATATGCCTTATGCACCTAGATCAAGTCTCCACCCGGCCTTGCAGGAGCAGTTCATCCTCCCTTCCTCCTCTTCCCCATGTGGTGCCATCACCTCTCTGGACTGCTGCTGAGGGTCCCATAGGCCTTGCAGCTATGTCCCCCTGGATCTCAGCATTCTGCAAGAAGGGGAGCATCTGTATCTTAGGAGGCTGTAACGAGGGTCAAATGAAGTCACAATGGAAGTCCACAGCCAGTGAATTGCACCCTATGGAGCAGGTGAGCGTCCCTTAACCCTCTGGGCATCCCTTTCCTCATCTGTAAAATGGGCCTGGGCATCCACCCCTAACACCATTCTCTGAAGTTGCCCAGCTGTCTTGTGAGTGGGCTTGCTATCCGGACAGCATTCCTTTCTCCGCAAAGATCTGACTATGTCATGTCCTGCCCAGAATCCTCAATGCCTCCCCATGCACACAAGGCCCCCTTTATCCAGGCCTTGACAATCAAACAAAGCCACCAGCCCCCACTCTGTTCCTTTCCTCCAATCATTATAGTTCATTGACTAAATGTTGCCATTTCATCCTGAAGCTTGTGCTCTTTCTTCTACACTGTCTAAGCGCCACCTCCTCCAGGAAGCCCTCCCTCATTCTCAAGGTCACTATCCACCAAAACCACAGCAGGACCTCACCCACCACATTCCTTTTTTTTTTTTTTTGGTGTCTTTACCAACATCTAGATGAGGAACAGACTTCATTTTCTTGGGCTCTAAAATCACTGCAGGTGCTGACTCCAGACATGAAATTAAAAGATGCATACTTACTCCTTGGAAGAAAAGTTATGACAAACCTAGACAGCATATTAAAAAGCAGAGACATTATTTTGCTAACAAAGTTCCATATAGTCAAAAGATATGGTTTTCCCAGTAGTCATGTGTGGACCATAAAGAAGGCTGAGCACCGAAGAATTGATGCTTTCGAACTGTGGTTCTAGAGAAGACTCTTGAGAATGCCTTGGACTACAAGGAGATCCAACCAGTCAATCCTAAAGGAAATCAATCCTAAATATTCCTTGGAAGAACTGATGCTTAAGCTCCAGTACTTTGGCCACCTGATGTGATGAGTCAACTCATTAGAAAAGACCCCGATGCTGAGAAAGACTGAAGGCAGCAGGAGAAGGGTATGACAGGATGAGATGGTTGGATGGCATCACCGACTCAATGGACATGAGTTTGTGCAAATTCCGGGAGATGGTGAAGGACAGGGGATCCTGGCGCACGGCAGTCCATGGGGTCGCAAAGAGTCGGACACGACTTAAGAGACTGAACAACAGATGAGGAGAGCCTGAGGGCAAGGGCTGTGTTTTATCTTTTTCTAGCGGCCCAGAAATCAGCACAAGGCTACACAAAAAACAGATTACCGGTAAGTAACTGTAAATAAGTAAGTAGAGATTAAGAGAGTCAACACAGACAAAAAGCCACAGAATGCCAAAGAAACGAAACGGAGAGAAGCATCAAGTCTCAGACATGGCTTAGCTGCAAGGCCAGCCCATCCCTGAGCCCAGGTCCCTGCAGCCCTGGCCAGCTGTTCCCACTGTCAGTCCCTCCTCCACTGCCCCAGACTCCTGCCCCTGCCTAGGTGGGACCCTCGGGGCTCTCTGATCCAGGGCTCAGTCCCCCAGAGAAGTCAGTACGACAGAGGCTGACACTGCTCCCTGCCCCCACCGGGGCCCTGGAGGGGGAAGTTACCAGCAAGGAAGGAACATCACCCCAGTGAAGCAGGCACAGGCTGAAGCTGGGGAAAGGCTGGCGCAGGAGAAACCCACTCCAGCCCCTCCTGTCCTGGAGAGGGGGCTGGCCTCAGGATGACCCCACTAGAATCTTGAGGTCAGCCGCCCAGGTCAGAGCCCTAGGGGCCACTGACCCTCTGCGCAGTTGTCCCACCCACCCCCCAACCACTCCACCCACGTACTCTTCCCTCTCTCATCCCCCCAGCCCCAGCCACAGTCAAGATTCCAGACAAATAACTCGGAGGCCTCAGGTGATCTCAGAGAGCAACAGGCCAAGAGCCCCTGGCCTCTGGGACCAGCAGTGCCATCATCTTGAAATGGCTGCCTCGGGCTTACTGGGGACAGTTCCTGACGGCGGTCTGTGCCCCGTTCTTCCATGATCTTTCACTGTGACACCTCAGGAGAGGGGCAGGACCCCATATCTCTCACCTCTGCGAGCAGGTGCTTGGGCGAGGCCTCTGCAAGCACCTGCTCTGACTCAAGGGCCCTAAGAAGCCAGTGCATGGTCCCCATGGCAGATATGGAGCTGCAACCAGAGACAGGTAACCAAACTCTGAGTATGCATGAAGCTCCGATCAGAGACACGTAACCAAACTCTGAGACTGGGCAGGGTTTAGGACTCAGCCCTCTTGAATTTTCTTTTCCTGGACTCAGGCCCGAGGTGCAGAGACCAAGGGGCCCTGGGGGTGGGTGCACACCCACTGCCTGGACTCAGGGCCCAAGGCGCAGGGCCCAGGGGACCCTGGGGGTGGGTGCGCATGGGTTTTCTGGTTTCTGCGCAGCAGACCAGCCGCCGGGTGACCTCAGGCCCACCTCTGCCCGAGAGCCGGGTCTTCCCCCTGCCCCGCCCGTCCTGGGCACAGCCCCAACTCACTCTCACACAGGCGGCGCCGCAGCTTGCCCTGGATCTTGTCGATGGCGTCGAAGTCGGACACGTGGAAGACGTGCGCCGCGGTGGGCTCGGAGGCGATCTCCTCCAGCTCCTCGCGCAGCGCCTCTCCCACGCCCACAGCGAAGATGCGGATGCCGGCGCGGCGCGCGGCCACGGCGGCAGGCAGCACCAGGTCCTGGCTGCGGCCGTCAGTCAGCAGGATGGCCACCTGCTTGAAGGCGCGATCCCCAGGGCGGCCGCCGGCACGCGGCGTGAAGCTGTGGCGCGTGATGAAGCGCAGCGCGTCGCCCGTGTGCGTGTGGCCGCCGTGGTAGGCCAGCTGCCGGGCTGCCGCGCGCACCGCGGCCCGCGAGCCGAAGCGACCCAGCTCGAAGGCCGTGGCCGGGCGGTCGCTGTAGCGCACCACGCCCACCCGCGTGCGCTCCGGGCCCACCTCGAACGTGTCCACCAGGTTGGCCACCCACTGCCGGACCTTCTCGAAGTTCTCCTTGCCCACGCTTGAGGAGGAGTCCAGCAGGAACACCAGGTCGTAGTGGACGGTTTTGCAACCTGCAGGGGCAACGGGAAAGGTAGGGTCTTTGCCGGGCGCTGGGGGCATGGTCATCCGGGTCCCCCAGACCTGCCTCCAGGTCCTGCGCACTGCGCAGGGTGAAGGGGGCGGAGGGAAAGGAGGGGGGCTGGGCTGCCGCCTTAAAGCTCCAACCTCGGTTCCCCAAAGGCCATGTGATGGGGAGTCTCCCCAAGATTGCTGTGAAGTTCACCTGACTACATATATAGTTAATATGTATACTCACATATATATATAGTGAATAACTTATAATTATATATTATATACTATAGATAATTATAGTTTATATGCAATTATATAAGTGAATAACATAATTATATATATTATCTATTATTTACTGTACATAAGTATATATGATTATATATAGTTATAGATATACTCATGTAAGTGAATAACAGTCATGTAACACTACTGACTACTGTTATCAGTTTCTTTAACTCCTCCTACCATGTTGGTTCAAAAGTGACTTCATTGTCTTTCAAACATGCAGAAGGCAATCCAAAAAATCTTCAAACGCTCCTATTTCCATTTGGGCAGAGATAACTACTGCTAACCCACGCTGTATTTATTTATGCTGTTGGCAGAAGTGGGCCTGTACCAGTGGCACTGATATATAGGCTGGTTCCCAGCATCCCTCGATAGGCCAGGAGCCCATTTCCAGTGTGATAATGCTGGTCTCCATGGCTGCAGAGATTCCGCCACAGGGATGAGCATAATTTATTTAGCCAGTCCTCTCCTGTCAGATAGTCAAACAGTTCACCGTGTCTCACTATTAGAAATCATATAAAATGGATTGCATTCATATATTTTAGAAAGTCTACGGTGCTTTATAAAAATATGCTCATATTTTTACAAATATAAACTCTATATAAGCTATATGACACTTTTGATTAAATAAAATGCAGCACTATAATTTATTTCTGATCCACAGGGCAGCCCTGTGTGGAGAGCTTGCTGGTCCCCATTTTACAGTTAGTTAATAGGAGGAAAAGTGTTTTCTAAACTTCAAAGTGCTGCACAAGTAGACAGGGGAGTCATCAACATGCCCTTGCCTCGATTTTTCCAGAATCTGAATCTTGGCCATGACAATAGGAGCAGCGGATCAGGCTTCTGGGAACACCTGGCACAGACAGTTGACCAGTGAAAATAAAAGTTAAAAAAAAAAAGCGAGATCTTACTTTGTTAAAAGTTCCATTTGGCAAAAGTAAAAAATATTGACTGTGGTGTCCAGTGAGGATGTAAGGAGAATGCCTTTATGGGCTCAAGAAGTGACTAGGGTTTGTCACCCCCATCATCAGAGTCCTAAAAGCCTCGTATCTTTGAATCTACCAGTTCCAGGTTCAGTGATTTACTCAAAGAAAACCAGCAGATAAATAGAAAGGGCAAAAATAAAGCTGTAAGGAAGTTAATGGCAGCATTGCCAAGCAAAATCCCAGAGCCTGCCTTCATGGGTACGCATAAATATTCCGCCTGCATCATTCAGTGGAATGCCAGGCGGCAACCACAGTGATGGCCGTATTTACCAACATGGATACATTTTCCACTCTATCATCTATCATTAGGTGTGTGTGTGGTGTGTGTGTGTGTGCGTGTATACAACTGTGTACTGAGGAGAGAAGCTCCAAAAAGAACCATTGCTTCTTTCTGGCAAGCAGAGCCATGAGTGAATTGTATTACCTTGTAGTTCTGTGTAGTTATGAACTTAGGTTTACACACAATGCATTAAGTTCAAAAAACAAAAATAATAAAGCTAGGTATATTTATACACACACATACACACACGCATACGTCCTCATCCCACCCTGCTCTAGTGCTCCCCTTGAATTTGCCACGTCTACCTTCCCCTCTAGTTTTTTAAAATCCAAGGCCAATTGGCTGAGAAGCCGAGGTGAACCCCTGCCTTCACAGAACGGATCCCCTAACAGGATTAGAGCTTTTGAAGTGTGTTTGCCCAGATGTGTGGACTCAGAGAAAACTCTTGGGGAGTTTTTCCCCTGGACACAAAAGGTCATCCTTTTGCCTTTGGGACCGTGATGTCCCAGCCTGATCAGGATGATTGCTGTCCACGGCTCTAACCCTTGAGGTGATGTGGCTGTAGGCAGCAGAAGGTTCATTCGTGTGGGAGGCCTCACCATGGGGCCACTTTCTCCTGGAGGCCAGGGCACAGGCGGGGTTGCAGGCAGATGAGAATGAAGGGCAATGCGGAGGGAGGGGCCCTGGCTTCTGGCCTTGGTCCTGCCACCCACAGGGGCCCTGTGACCCCGCAGGGGCTCTGTGACCCCGCAGACTGCTTTCCACTCTGTGAAATGAGGGCAGAGACAGAAGGTCCTTGGGCCTTCCCGCTTCTAAATTTGATAATCCTGGTGCCAACTGGGCACTTGCGGCTGTCCGGGGTGGGGGGGGGGGCACAGAAATCTCCTCAGAAGGCCCGTGTTCCCCACATGGAAACCAGGATGTCCACACTCCTCACTGTCTTTCTAGCTACCCTGGCTTTGTGAGTCGCAGGCAGAATAGGCCTTTGTAAAGTGATGGAGAAACGCAAGCCTTCGGGGCTTGTTGTTTGTTTTTCCTCTTCCTTGGAGGGCCCAGATAAACAGCTTGACTCTAGCTCAGACCTGCCCATTCCTTCAACCTCACAGGGGTGGGAGTCGGGTATGGGGGGGGGCTCTTTTTTTCCCCAACATTTTTAAACATCAAAGTATAGCTGATTTACAATATTGTGTTCATTTCAGGGGTTAGAGCAAAGTGATCTGCTTATGCATATTTATGTATTGATCTATAGTCTTTGTAAAAATTCTTTTCCATTATAAATCACTACAAGATATTGAATATAGTCTCCTGGACTGCACAGTAAATCCTTGCAGTTTACATAGTTTTTATCCAATACTGCGCGTGTGTTGCCTCAGTTCCTTATCTGTAAAATGGGGCAGCGTTTCACACCCAGCCATCCAGCGACAGTTCTCTCCCTGGTCTCACCAGGTCCAGCTGTGTACCGAGGACGCGGCGTGCAGGCTCGGGGCTGGGCGCCGTGACAGACCGACCCACTCCCATCCCTGACTCCTTCCCCAGGTCCCCCACGGACCGTGACTCCTCCCAGGAAGCCCTCAGACGGATGGGCAAGCCGTCCCATCACTTCTCACCCCTCCCACCCGGGCTGTCACTGCTCCCATAACTTCCCCACTTCCTGGCCGCTCACTGCCCGGCCACCCCTTTAGGCTGGGCTCCAGGACACTCAGCGCCCCTCAGGCTGTGGCATAACGTGTTACGTGATCGCCTGCAGACGTGTGTTCACTCTCACATACGTGCACACGCCCCAGCGGCACGGCTGATTGTGACTCCCACTGGCTGGGGGACAGTGGACACCACACCTGGGATGACCCACACTCTCACACACACTGACACTAGCTCAGCCCCGGCCCACGCCCAGACACGCATGGACACACACTCACGGCTCTGTGTGCCGCCTACAGCCCTACCTGCCCTCTGGGCCTGACAGCCGCGGTCCCCACTCCAAAGCAGCAGCATCCACAGGAGGCAGGCCTTGACGCTCCCTCGTGTGCAGCCCATGGCTCTCTCGTGCTTGGAAACAAGCGTTTCTTGGCCAGAAAGAGACGCCGTAAGGGTCTACTGGAACATGTCCTGTGTGGAGAAAGAACACCTTTACAGGAGGGCCCTTGAGCTGAGAAGCTGCAGAAATAACCTCTGGATCCCCTCATGGGAGGAATTCCCCAGACCCAGACTCCCAACCCTCTTCACTGCTGAGACTCAACTTTTCACACAGCCAAAAGTGTGACTTTCTAAGAACAAAGCTCAGTGTTACCTCCTAATCCCTGATTCATCCATCTCTCCCGTCCCCATCCATCCATTAGCAGATGCAAATTAATTAAGAACCGACAGGCCTCCTGTTATCTGCTCCCTAAGGCTATGACCTGTGACACTAACATCATTATTCTGATCGTATTTTCTACTTTTAGACATTAATAGGCTGCTTTATTTGTTTAGCATGTCACAAAAGGACATCTCTTTGCTCATACTCACCTATTTTCTTACAATAGATTTGTAGGAAAATACTTGGGGCGTAGGAAATTTGTAAGTATTTGAAGGAAAATACTTGGTTTTGAAAGGGCCCTGGTAAGAACTGTCAAACTGCTTTGCAAAAAGGCTGCACTGTATTCGCTGCCTCCGGCAACACAGGAGTGTGTGTGGGTGCCCCCCTCACTGCGTACCTGGCCGCACAGAGTGGCACCATTCCTTTCATCTTTGCTAACTCAACATCCCTTCTTGCTTTCAACGCATTTCTTTGATCCACTGAGGTTTATTAGCTAAATTATTTCCCATTTTGTGTATTTTATTTTCATGTGGATGGCCATTTCAAAAACTGTTTGTCCTTGCTAATGCCAAGATCCAGGAAAAGGAAACTGCTTATAGATGTTACCATTGCTTTATTCATTCAAAAATATTTGCCAGTGGCCCTCATGTGCCAGGTTCTCAGGGCAGGCAGATGAATGTCACCAATTCCATGCCCACTGACACCTGGGAGACAGGTAAGACATAGGCCAGGGCAAGGTCGGCTCAACGACACTGATGGGGAGGGGGTGGGTATGGGGCTCAGGAACAGGAGGGCGACTGCCCTGTGACCACTTCAAGAGAAGGTGAGATGATGGTTCCCACGTGTAAGAAAACCTAACAACTCATAAAAAGCCGTTAGAACCAATAAACACATTCAGCAAAGTTGCAGAATAAAAAAAAAAAAACCAACATTCAAAAATCTGCTGCATTTCTGTCCAATATCAATGAACAATCCATAGAGAAATTAAGAAAAAGAATTTTATTTACAACAGCATCAAAAAATAGCATAAAATACTTAGGAATAAACCGAACCAAGGAGGTGTAAACCAAGGAGGTTTTTGTATACTGAAAACCACAAGTCACTGCTGAATGGAATTAAAGAAAGGCCTAAATATGCAGTAAGACATCTTCTGTTACTGCTTATGGTTATAGGGTTTCTGTCTGGGGTGATGAAAATGTTCCAGAAATAGTGCTGATGTTTATACAATATCTGAATGAACCTGATGCTACTGAGTCACACACTTAAAATGGTAAATGTTATGTTATATACTTTTTATTACAATAAACTTAATAAACGATGCCCATATCCTTATCTCTGTGAATATGTTACACTACATGGCAAGGAAGGATGACAGTTACAGGTGGAATTAAGATTGCAGATCATGACTTCCTTGGTGGGCCAGTGGTTAAGGGTTTGTCTTCCAACACTGGGGACATGGATTTAATCCCTGGTTGGGGACTGAAGATCCCACATGCCACAGGGCAACAAAACCTGTGTGCCACAACTGCTAAGCCCACATGCCTAGCTAGAGAGCCTGTGCAGTGCAACTGGAGATGCCTTCACACTGCAGCGAAGACCCAGCACAGCCAATAAATACATAAGGAAATGAAAAAAAAAAAAACAAAGAATAAGTTAATGCTAAAAAAAATACATAGCTAATCACCTGACCTTAAAACATGGAGATAACTTGCAGTATCTGGGTGGGCTCCATGTAATCACAAGGAAGAATCTGGGTCAGAACACAGAGATGGCAACCTGAGAAAGACTTGCTCAGCCATTGTTGGCTCTGAAGACAGAGGAAGGGTCCACAAGCCAAGGAATGCAGGTGACCTCTGGAAGCTGGAAGAGGCCAGGAATGAATTCTCCCCTCTGGACTTTGAAGGGGACAGCCCTGCCAACCCCTCGATTTTAGCCCAGAGACCCATTTTGGAATTCTGATCTTGAGAACTTTAAGATAATAAATCTGCATTGCTTAAATTGTTCTATGATTTGTCACAGCATCCACAGGACACTGAATGCAGATGACAGTTTAGGGGAATGGAGGGCCTAGTGGATCCTGGGGCGTGCTGAGTAGTCCCTCCTGGCAACCTCCCACCCTCCCTTTCTCTTCACCTACCGTCTACAAATGTTTGTCCAGTTCCTCTTCTCCAGACTAAATCATGTCCCCCCAAATCCACATGTTGAAACCTCGATCCCAAGTGTGATGGTGTTTGGAAATGGGGTCGTTGGAAGGTGTGTGTGTGTGTGGTAGTTGCTCAGTTGTGTCCGACTCTTTGCGATCCATGGACTGGAGCCCACCAGGCTCCTCTGTCCATGGGATTCTCCAGGAAAGAATACCAGAGTGGGTTGCCATGCCCTCCTCCAGGGGATCTTCCCAACCCAGGGATCGAACCCAGGTCTCCTGCACTGCAGGCAGATTCTTTACAGTCTGAGCCACCAGGGAAGCCCCTTTTAGAAGATACTTAGGTTTACAGGCGGTCATGAGGTTGTATTTCTCGCGATAAATTAGTGTCCTTATAAGAAGAGATCTCAGGAGTGGCTCTCTCTAGTGAGGGTGGACTGGTTGGCCTGACTGTGAAACAGGCAGCAGATTCTGTAACAACCCAGGAGCATCCCCACACTGGGGCTGAGGACCGCCTGACCCCACATTCCAGGCCGCAGGTCAGCATGCTCAGCCCTCTCAGAGCTCCATCACCCACCAGCACCACTAAGAGAAAAGCAGCTTCCGTCTATGGGGGCAGATGTAGGTGGGATCAGACCTTGCTGGGAGGTCAGGAGGGCAGAGCCTCAACCCAGAGTGCCTGGTGGTGTGAATCCCCATCAGTCACCAGCTCTGCAATCTCAGAGAACGACCTAAATTTTCTGCACCTTAGCATCCTCACTGAGGAGTGAGATACGGACAGAACCCACCTTACAGGGTTGCTGCAAGGGGATTAAATAAGAAAACTGCAAGTAAGGGCTTCCCAGGTGGTCCAGCGGTTAAGAATCCACCTGCCAATGCAGGGGACACGGGTTCTATCCCTGCTCCAGGAAGATCCCACATGCTGCGAGGCAACTAAGTCTATGTGCACAACTGCTAAGTCAGCACCCTAGAGCCGATGGGCCACCGCTGCTGAGCCCGTGTGCCTAGAGCCTGTGCTCTGCAACAAGAGAAGCCAGCCCACCGCAACGAGAGAGCAGCCCCCACTCACTGCAACTAGAGAAAGCTGGCGCACAGTGACAGAGACTCAGTGAAAGCAAAGATAAACAAATAAATCTTATAAAAAGAAAGAAACCTGCAAGTAAAGCTTTAGCACAACCTTAAGGCCATGTCAGTAACAGAAGCCAGGGCAGGGACTTCAACCACACCTGCTTCTTCAGCCCATCACCATCCAAGGGTCCCTATGCGTGTGTGCATACTATGTCACTTCAGTCGTGTGAAGTGTGACTCTTCGTGATCCCATGGACTGTAGCCCGCCAGGCTCCTCTGTCCATGGGATCCTCCAGGAAAGAATACCGGAGTGGGTTGCCATGCCCTCCTCCAGGGGATCTTCCCGACTCAGGGACTGAACCTGTGTCTCTTACGTCTACCTGCATTGGCAGGTGGGTTCTTTACCACTAGTGCCACCTGGGAAGCCCACGGGTCCCTGTATCTGGGTAAAACCCAGCATCACTGTAGAGCCTCCATGCTGTATATATCATAGGTCCCATCTCTAGAACAGCCCCATGGTGTGGACACCTGTGCCTCCCATTCACAGGCCAGCAAGCCAAGGCTGACAAGCAGGGAGATGCCCCCAGCACACCCAGTTGGCGAAGGGTAGAGCTGCATGTGAAAGCAGGTCCACGGGACTCAGAAATAACTACTCCTTAGGCAATGGCACCCCACTCCAGTACTCTTTCCATGGGAAAATCCCATGGACGGAGGAGCCTGGTGGCTGCAGCCCATGGGGTCGCTAAGAGTTGGGCACAATTGAGTGATTTCGCTTTCACTTTTCACTTTCATGCATTGGAGAAAGAAATGGCAACCCACTCCAGTGTCCTTACCTGGAGAATCCCAGGGATGGGGGAGACTGGGGGACTGCTGTCTACGGGGTCGCGCGGAGTCGGACATGACTGAAGCGACTCAGCAGCAGCAGCACACCAAGCCCCCCAGGGCCAGTCTGTGCCGACCTCTGTCCCGGTGAGTGTGTGTGGAGTTGAAAGTGCACAGGCTTGCTGTTTGGTCCTCTAAAGAAAAGGCTGAGGAAATGTGTGTGCTGCGAGTCAGGCCCCTTTTAGCAACGTCTTCTCTGCACGGCAGTACTGCGAGCCCCACCCTCCTGAAGACGAGCCTGGGATCAGGGAGCACAGACAATTCTGCTAGGCACCCAGGCCAGTAAACTCAAAGCTGGACCTGCCGTCAGGCCTGAGTAACCAAAGTCCACACTCTCCAACACTCAGCTTTTTAACATATATCACATGCTTACTAAAGGCCAAGAGTCATTCCCAGGACTTGATACATAATAACTCATTTAATCTGGAAGGCAGGTATCATGAGGCCCATTTTACAGATTAAGAAACTGAGGCACAAAGGGCTCAGGAACCTGCCCCTGACACACACCCAGTAGCCAGGATTCAGTCCAGGCAATCACAGGCCCATGGGTATAATCAAGCATAACAGAGCTTCTCAGGATGTTGGAATCTGGCTGGAGCAACACTTCTTTCTTAAGCACAGAAACAACATGAATATAGAAAACGATATAGCCAAAACCAAGCCATGCATCCTCCAGAGGACAGAGAAGGAAGGGTCTTCTTTGCTTGTTGGTGTGAT